AAACTTATTGGTCTATAGCTTTCTGGTAGTTGACAATTACCATCTTTATAAAACGGAAGCACCTTTGCAATTTTTAGTGCATTCGGGAACGTTCCTTGCTTTATACATTGATTAAATAACTTTGACAAAGGTTCGCTAATAACCGTCGACGAGAGTTTCAAAAATTTGATTACTTATATCATCCGGACCTGAAGACCCCTTATTTTTAATAAGAATAATTGTATCAAAAACTTCTTTTGTTGTTATTTTCTGAAAAACCATTGAAATAGGTACAGATTTAACATGCCTTAAGGCAATTTTATGATTGATTTTTTTACCACTTAATTTATTACCAATTTGTGCGAAAAACTGATTGAAGACATCAGCTTCAACTTCTATTTTGGCAGATGTTTTGCTTTGTATGAAATCGTTATATGCCTCAAAAATACTTTTATTGTTTTTCGATTTTTCGATTTTTTGTTGGTAAAATTTTAGTTTCGAATTTCTTATTAGCGGTGTGGTTAAATTTCGGGACAATTTATATTTCTCTAAATTTGTCGGAGTTGGATCAATTATCCATTTTTTGTAGAACATGTTTCTCTTTTGCATTTGCTTTTTAATATCCTGGGTAATCCAAGTTGGTTTTGCTTTATTATTCACCTGAGATAATGGGCAAAATTTATCTAAAATACGTGTTAAGCTGTTTACAATGTAAGTTATCTGCTCATCAGCGTTTAGTGAACTTTGCATTTTATTGAGTTTTTCATGTAGTAAGAAAAGGAAATCCACCAGGTTTTTGTCATTTTTCAATGGATTTATGTTTCGGAAAACGCTCTGTGTTTTAATGTCATTTTTACTTTTAAAGTCATCAATTTCAAGTAAAATTGAGTAATGGTCACTGATTACAGTTTTTAAAGTATTTATTTTGATCAAACAAGAATTGGTAAAAATATAGTCAATACAAGACTGACTTGAAGATGTAACACGTGTGGGTTCAAAGTTGCGTTGGAGAAACCCATGTGAGTTCATTAATGTCAAAAAATTCTCACTAGTGATTGAAGCATCAAGTGAATCTATGTTAAAATCACCACATATTATTGTTTGGTTTTTCCAAGTAGCCACCGTATCCAGGAAAGATTCTAGCTTTTCAAAAAAGTCGTTTAGTGCAGAAGATGGTTTTCTATACAAAACAATAAAATTTTTCGAATGTTTTTCATTTTTAACAGATATAGCTAGAAACTCAAGATCTGATTCCAATTGCAATTTTGACACCTTTAAATCCGATCTAACGAAAAATGCACAACCACCTCCGCGAGTACCTTTTCTGTTAGTAGTTATTATAGGTTGGTAGCCTTCAACTGAATAAATTGATAGGGATCACTGTCCGTTAGCCATGTCTCGCAAAGGGCTATTATTGGTGGCTTAACCTCAAAGTCGTCAATAAGAATTTTTAACTCATCATAATGACATCGCAAAGATCTAATATTCAAGAAAAAAAGAAAACTGCTATTTAATACGCCCACTTGTCTCCCCTCTAGGAGTTCTCGATAATATAATTTACTCATTTATCAACAAAAATAAGAAACAGAAAAAATTAGGCGCTGACTTGCAAGCCACGCTCAAACATTCTTGTATGCTTCATCAATCCCAACCCCATAGAGCATGCAAGAATGTATGAATAACTATGAACCTTCCTCGTAGGGATTTACAACATATTCTGAAAGAGTTTTTCTGTTTTTGCATAATTGCTCCAATAATTGTTCTCCTTCTTGCTCTGGGGAGTCACGTAATCGCTTCAGAATAGATTTAATATTCTCCGCCCGTTGAATATCATTTGGTCTGATTGGTGTCGTATTTCTTTCATAACCAGATACACTATAATTTTCCGTAGATTTTCCAGTTTTCGACTGAAATTTGTCAGATTTCTTAGTCGCTAAGTGTTTCATATCATCAATCGCCTTTTTCGAACTAACGGGAAAAGATTTGTAAATTCCTCTGTCGTCCATTTTAAACAATTCAACCTGACAATTCTGACTGGTATTTACGAGACCCAAATCATCAGCGTATTGTTTGAGTAGACGGTCTGCCGGTGGAAGCCTTTCCTTGAAAAAAATTTGTTTGTTGTTATTCGGGTTTCGAATGTTAGCCAACCAAGATTTTCTGTTGTAGATTTCACTTTTTCCCCAAAATATAAAAATTTAACTATCACAGCTGGGGGATAATTGATTTTTTTCCACGTTCCAAGCAAGTGACAGGCTTTAAAATTACTCGGGCTAGTTTTATACTGAAGAAATTGGGCCAAAAAATTGCATACCTGATGTGACAACGGTACCTGATTGTTTACTATTGGCAGGTTCTCCAAAATTAGGCAATCCTTAGAAGAATACCTTTCCTGTGCAGATACTCTTTGTTCCAAATCATCCACTTTGTTCTCAAGATCTAGAATAATCTCATCTTTTTTGCCCAGATCCGTCAATAATTTACAGAAAATCTGTCTCACATTGGTGTCGGAAATCTTTTCCAGCATCGAGGAATACATATCTTTCTCAAAACGTGATCCCATGTTAAAGGAACTCTCAGTTAAATACATAAGTTTGGAATTAGTAGTAAAGAAATTTCACACGTAAAGAAAGAATTGAGAAATTCGAAGCAAAGCAATTTGTTTAAACGCGGCAAGAAAAAGCGACTATTCAGCGCTGCTCATTTTGTTCTATGAATAGTGTCTTTGATGAATGTTCCAACTTAATTGGAACTCAACTAATTAGAACTTAAATAAAACCATAATTAGATTGGTTAAACTACTGTTTTTGGTCTTGGGAACTGAACTATTAGGAAAATTTGATACTTTTTGTATAGTTTAATGAATGATATTTAAATTGCACAGTAGTGAATTTTGATTTGATTAGTGGAACAAAAAAACTTGAATTTCGAATTTGAAACTCAATTTTTGTGCTATTTGATTTTGTCTCGTTTTTTAAAGCCTACATTGGTAGGAAATTTACTCTCTGATCACTCAATTAGTTTCAGTTTTAAGCTGATAATTTTCCTTTTGCATTAGTTTAGTCAAACCTCTTAGACGTAGCAAATGCAATAACTTTTCCTTGCATGCATGTCTATATCAAATTTCTCTTGTTGTTACCTCGACATGCGACTACCGTATTTTTAATCACACGGTTCGATCAACGTTCCGTAGACAAGGGCCTATCAAAAACCGTTATTCCGCAAAGCTCCCAACAAATAGGTAATTGAAACTTCTCTATTCAATGGGTTAATTGATTTGTTTTTAATCTCAAGCCATTTTAAAAAGTTATTTTTGAACTGATTTACAGAGACATTAAGTTAACAGTAAGCAGTTTATTGACTAACAATGCATCTTTTTTACCCAACAAGACTGCTCGTATATCAGGGCATATCCCTGAATGATCCGACTGCCCCTTAATCCATATCAAATAACTTTTGGGGAAGAATACTGAAAACTTATAATTTTTGGACAATATCAAAGAACAAATTTGAGTCGCACGCGAAGTTAATAGACCGATTAACTAGCCTCAGTTCACTTTGGAACGATTTTTTTATGCGGGATAATTAACCAAGCATAAAAATTTTGCGTTACGCGCGCATTTTCAAAGCGCGCATTATTTAGTCCAGACCATGGCCAAATTGACAATTTTTAAACTCCCAAAACTTTCCAAAAACTAATTGAAGGTGAAATATCTTTTTACATTTGAGCTCATGAAGTCAATATCTTCAATGGGAAAAACATTTTTTGTTAACTATTACTTTAATCGGCGAAACTTAACTGACTAACCAAAAACGGCGGAACAAACTTTATCCACACCAAGTGGTCTGCAGTACAGTTGTTAATGTCCCACATTTTTTTCAAGCGGTTTCAAGACACGGGGCTTAAAACGTTTGTAGAGTATAGTCCATCAATGAAAGGCAGTCGGAACTTTCAAGCTTCGCCCTGATACGAGCAACCTTGTTATTAGTTTACTCTCATTTAGAACGGCTTAGCGCTTTACTTATTTTGCTGTACAGACTGCGCAATTAACTCTGGAAAAAAGTACGAAACAATTTGATGGTTTTCAAAAATTCTACAGAGGTTTCAAGACAAAAAGTTTTGAACCGCAGTTAAATTTAACAAAAAAAAAGGTCAAAATGCATTTTTTTGGCGGACGCTCCCCTTCAAAATTAGTATATATTAGCGTCGAAGGCGCCTTTAGAAAACTTATGGGTTGGTTAGCCAAAAATTATGTCATTAAAAATACCCAAATGGGACCTTTGGTTAGTGAGGGGGTCGAACCCTTAAGGGAGAGGCCCTCCTCTAAATATGCCCCGGGTTTTACCGGGTTTTTTTGAGTGCAGCAACTGTCCGACATCTACCATATGAACTTTTGTTGTGGTAGCTTCTTGAAAATTAACTAAATTAGTAGCCAGATTTTTAGCTGAAATATTTTCTTGTTCCGACTTTCGAAGAAAGTGACGAAATATTTGGGCTCAGGTTCTTTTTCTCCAGTCAAATTTCGACCTTTCAACTAAGATTTTTTGACGCAATTTTTTGTTATATCAGCCAGAAGTATTTTTGCCGTGAACTCAAACATAAAAATCCTTCCTTCAACCAATTCGGAACAATTTCTAAGACAGATTAAATCTCCTCTTACGCGTTAATAGAGCGAAACATCACGGTTTTTTTGTCCCAAATCGGCCAAAATGGCAATTTTTAAACTCCCATAACTTCACGAAAAATGATCATAGGAGAAATATATATTTTTAATTAGCTCAGAACAACAATACCTTTTGAATGATTTAAAAAAATTGCCAAAAATAGCTGGTTTAAAAGTCGAAATTTGTTTGGAGAAAAAAACCAACCCGAGCACAAATATTCCGTTACTTTCGTTAGCAAAGTCGGAACAAAATTTTCGAAAAGAAGAAAGGCTTTCGAAAAATGAAACGCTGGCCTTGTGAAAGACTCTTTTCGGATATGCGCAAAGTTTTAATTAGCAAGAGAAAATAGTAATTACCTCATCTCTGCCAAACTGAGCTGTCGTCCTTTCAGCTCCTTTTCCAGCTGTTTCTTTTCCCCTTTAGAAAAACACAAACAATTTCTGCGTTCAGAAATACCATCACTCGCATTGTCTGCTTCGTCTTGTGGGAACTGGGTTTGCTTTTCATCTTCATCGTCGCTCTTCTTTGAATTTTCCCTTTTTCGTCTAAACGCGTGCCACATTTCCACCATCAGATCAGAACAAAATGCTACGTTTGAGTTGGCTTCGATTATTTCGAAGATGAAAGCCCCGTCTGGCTTGAGATAGTCTCCGACAAAATATTGAAAATGAGGGTCGGACTCCTCCAAATCCTGATACTGCTGATAGTCTTCGCCAGACTTCAGGTAGAACAGAATCTTCTTGGCTCTTACGAAGTGCAGTTGCACTTTGTACACCCACCAGAGAAGACTCCAACAGGTGGACATGATGAGGAACACCATCCACCACCAGACTATGGTGAAGATTTTCTCATTGAACAAGTTGATGGTCAAAACACACTGGACCGTCTGGATTTTGGGCTGCCCAACTTGGCGGATTTCGATGTTACAAAGAGTCACCTTTGGGAAACTTTGAGAAGAAATTGACTTCCAATCTGATTTGGCGAAAAAATTGCTGGCAACTTCAATTCCAAATGTGTAGAACCCAGGTCCCACCATAGAATTGAGAAAAAACATGGTGAACAGGCCTAGAATTATGTAAATGCATTTGACAGCGAGGTAGGATGGGGCCAGATATGCACCGTAGTCTTCTTTGAAGAACCAGAACAGAAGTGGGTTCTCCCTAACTTTCTGCTTCAGGTACTCCAGTCCTCTGAGTCTGCTGCGCTTTGCCCCGAAGTCGATTCTGTTCTCGAAGTAGTGACGAAGGGCCTCCGACATCCATCGCGCACACTTTCCTCTCTCCTCATAGTCTGTAGCATTTTCACTAAACAAAGTGAGCTCTCAAAAAACTAAATCGCTCCTACAGTGTAACATTAACTGATGGCTCAAATAACCCTCGACAAATATGGAATTGATGCTGATAGAAATTGTGAAGAAAAATTGAGGCAAATTTGATGCATGCAATTCGGTCATCTATAATTGCAAAAAAATGGATGAGACATTATTAATTTAAAAAGCTATCTTCCAATTTTCAGCAACTTGTGCAAACAAATTTGAATATTTAGGTGAACTTGAGTCATACTTCGTGTCTGAAAAATTTGCTTATGCACCCAGAATTTTTCTTGCATAGGTCATTTGCTCTTTTAAAATAATTCTGTATGTTCCGAATTTTTGCAACTTTCTATAGCAATCGAATAGTCAAAAATTGCATAGAAAGATCAATAAAATGCATGCAACAGGTTTGCGCGGTGTCGGAGACGCCTGTTTCTTGCATAATTTTAAGTCGAAAATATTATTCAACAGCAATCCGCCAGACAATTACAGCTTTTATAATTAGCAGCAAAAAGTTCGGACAGAAAGAATGAATTAAAATGAGCAATCAGTGCTTTTCCACACTATTTTGCATGCAAAATCTGAATTCTAACAACCTTGAATTTGTAGTCAGAGCAAATTCAAAATGCGAGATGGTCGATTATCCAATGATTATGCTAGAGTAATATTTAAATAATGCGATAAACATTAAGATTTTATAAGAAAAAACAGTAAGCAAAATTAGTAAAAAAAATCGAAATCTAGAGTTGTTTAAAAAAACAGATTAGAACGCCCCAAAAAATGGAAGCGAAGATGATCAAATCATTCAAAATTTGGAAACTATTAGCAAAAAATATAAGCTGCCCTGAGCAACAATTGTCCTGTTTCAAGGTTTCCTATTCGACGCTTCGGATGCAATTGCCCACCCTTGTTATAGGTTTTGAGCGAAACTCTGCTTTATGAACTTTCGACGTTATGTTTATTTCAGTTTTAATTTCCGTTGATGTCTAGACAGTTGCTCTTTTAATTATTTCTGTCAGTCCGAATTTTTTGCAACTCTCGATAGAGAAAAAATCATAAGGCAGAGTTACGGGATCTACTTAACAATTCCCCTTTTAAGAAAGGGGAGGAGATCGTTAATAAGATTATTCGCAGCGAACTTTCGACCAGTCAGAATGCAGCAAAATCAGAATTTACATACAATGTTCTTGCGAGAATTTACTGTTTTAGTTTTAGGGGTGGAGATTCTTTAGCAGATACAATAAGGGGGGTTGTTAAGTAGATCTGAGTTTCGCTCAAAACCTATAACCACGGCGGGCAATTGCATCCAAAGCGTCGAATAGTAAACCTTGAAACAGGACAATTGTTGCTCAGGGTAGCATATGTTTTTTTTGCGATTAGTTTCCAAACTTTGAATGATTTGATCATCTGCACTTCCATTTTTTGGGGCGTTCTAATCTGTTTTTTTTTTGTTAAAAATAAAGATTTTGATTTTTTAACTAATTTTGCTAACTATTTTTTAAAATAAAATCTCAATGTTCATCGCATTATTTAAATATTACTCTAGCATAATCATTGGATAATCGACGATCTCGCATTTTGAATTTGGTCTGACAAAAAATTCAAGATTGTTAGGCTTCAGATTTTTCATGAAAAAAAAGCGTCAACAATCACTATTTGCTCATTTTAATTAATTCTGCCTGTCCGAACTTTTTGCTATAGAAAGTTGCAAAAAGTTCGGACAGACAGAATTAATTAAAAAGAGCAACTGTCTAGACAGCAACGGAAACCAGAACCGAAATAAGCATAGCGTCGAAAGTTCATAGAGCAGAGTTTTCGCGCAAAACCTATAACCACAAAGGGCAATTACATTCGAAGCTTCGAATGTTAAACCTTGAAACAGGAAAAACTTTGCTCAGGGTAGCATATGTTTTTTTTGCGATTAGTTTCCAAACTTTGAATGATTTGATCATCTGCACTTCCATTTTTTGGGGCGTTCTAATCTGTTTTTTTTTTGTTAAAAATAAAGATTTTGATTTTTTAACTAATTTTGCTAACTATTTTTTAAAATAAAATCTCAATGTTCATCGCATTATTTAAATATTACTCTAGCATAATCATTGGATAATCGACGATCTCGCATTTTGAATTTGGTCTGACAAAAAATTCAAGATTGTTAGGCTTCAGATTTTTCATGAAAAAAAAGCGTCAACAATCACTATTTGCTCATTTTAATTAATTCTGCCTGTCCGAACTTTTTGCTATAGAAAGTTGCAAAAAGTTCGGACAGACAGAATTAATTAAAAAGAGCAACTGTCTAGACAGCAACGGAAACCAGAACCGAAATAAGCATAGCGTCGAAAGTTCATAGAGCAGAGTTTTCGCGCAAAACCTATAACCACAAAGGGCAATTACATTCGAAGCTTCGAATGTTAAACCTTGAAACAGGAAAAACTTTGCTCAGGGTGGCTAATCTTTTTTTGCAATTAGTATCCAAATTATGAATGATTTGATCAGCTTCAATTCCGTTTGCTTTTTTCGGGCGGTCTGATCTGTTATTTTTTGTTATTGAAAATGACTCCTTGATATTCGACTTTTAAAACATCATAAACGGTAGATTTAAATTTTTCGAACTAAATTTGCTAACTGTTTTAAAGTAAAATCTGGAATTTCATCGCAAAATTTAAAAATTAGGCTAATATAATCATCGGAGAATCGACGACCTTGCATTTTGAATTTGGTCTGACAAAAAATTCAAGGTTGTTCGGCTTCAGATTTTGCATGCAAGAAAGCGTCGAAAAGCACTGAATGCTCATTTTAATTAATTCTGTTTGTCCGAACTTTTTGCTACTAATTATACTAATTATATAATTAGTAGCAAAAAATTCGGACAGACAAAATTAATTGAAAAGAGCAATTGACCTATTTTGGAAACATTTTGCATGCAAAATCTAATTTTTCAGTCCGATTTTGTGTCTCAAGGTTGAATGAAAAAAGAAATTGCATGCAAAAATCTGTCAAAATGGTACGATTGCTCTTTTTAATTAATTCTGTCTGTCCGAACTTTTTGCAACTCTCTATAACAAACTCATCGGACAGTGTTTTAAATTTCTGAATTAATTTTGACCTTGAGACAGCAAAATATGGTTGAAATTCCAACCTTTTTTTTCAAAACTGCAATTGAACTATCAAAAGAGCAAACCAAGCAGATGGCGTTTTTTTCAGTGGTCAGTTTTTTTAAGTTAACTTCAAGTCCTTATATTCAAAACAAAATTCATTCAGCGGCAATCGGAGATGCAATTTATAAAAGAGAAAAGATCGCGTATATAACGCAGGTAAAAAGGCAAATCGAAACTTCTGAGAACCATTTCTAATAAGTTTCAGCTTAAATGTCAGAATTATTTCAAAAATTGAATACGTTGTCCGATAAATTTGTTACAAGCTATATACAGAGAGTTGCAACATGTTGGAACAGACAGAACTAAATAAAAAAGCAAATGAAATACTCAGACAGTTAAACTGACTCAGGGTCACCAAAAACTCAAATTTGCATGCAAAAATTGTTTAAAACTGCCAGATTGATCTTTTTAAATGATTTCTCTCTGTTCCAATTTTTGCTACTTATTATATAGAGAGGTGCAAAGGTTGGAACAGAGAGAATTAATTAAGAGAGAATTTTCCATTTTGACAGAGCTTGGCGTGCAACTTTGATGCATCAGACAGACTTGACACACAAATTCAGTCTGAAAAATTAGCTTTCGCATGCAAATTTTTAACAAAATAGGTAATTGCTTTTTGATTAATTTTGTCTGACAACAGTTTTTGCTACCAGTTCTACTTACTTTAATATAATGTTGCAAGTAGTAGGAAAACGGAATTTATTGAAAAGCACTCTCTGCCAATTTCTTTCTAACAATTTTGTTTGCAAATTCAAACTTTCATGCGGTCCGGAGTAGCAAATTTTTTCCGGAAACGTAGGCTTTGCATGCATTTTTTTTGATAGAGGGTTTTTGGATTCTTTAATTAGTTTTGTGTTTCATGTTTTTGCATCTTTTTATTTAGCTTAAACATAATATATTTTTGCTGAGTGTCAAAAATTAGTATTTTAGAGAGTTGCAAAAAGTTCGGGCCGACAAAAATAAATAAAAAGAGCAATCTGCCAATTTTGAGCAATTTTTCTATGCAAACTTTTAGGTGACATTGACACCAGTGGATTTAGGGGAGCAGGAATGAGGGGGCGGATTTTTTGGTCAAAACTTTACAAAAAGAACGCCTTTTTTGGCCTGTTTTTTCAAAATTTTGCCTGCGGCGTAGAAAATTTGGTCAAAATGGGGCCTTTATAGTGATTTGGGAGAGCTCAGAAAATCAATTCGGTCAACCTAAAAAAATGTCGACGAAATTTTCGATTTTTTTTGAAAATCCGCCCTCTCGAGAAAATCCTAGATCCGTCCCTGGACATTGAAACATACTTTGGTATGAAAAATTAGTTTTTGCGTGCATAGTTTGTCTGAAAGATGTCATTTGCTCGTTTTAATTTCTTTTGTCTGTCCTAACTGTTTTGTTCTAGTAATATGTGTATTTTTTTCTCTTGGAATTATATTGATTGGAATGATTGCATAATTTGTGAGTGAGTGAGTTTGCGTTGCGTGTTGACTGACCCCTCAGTGAGTTGATGGACAAAGTGGTTGAGATTGATGGTGTTGTGCACTACGTGGTTCCAGAAAAAGTTTGGAGTGTAGAACAGCACCGCCAGGGCAGCTAAACAACACAATTAGGTCAAAAGGGTTTGGATCTTTTTTGAATATCCCCCTTCAGAAATCCTAGATCATGCCATGCATAGGTATGCTGTGAAACACATAACATCGTGTCAAATACAAATCATTGGGTAGCTGAAGAATCAGGTACAGCCGAAATGGACAGCTGAAATCTATTTTCATTTGTATTTGTGCGAGTTTCAGCAGTACTGCTTAAGCGATGAGTCAGTGGCCCAACTTGTGAGTGTGTTTGTGTGCTAGTGGCAGTATAGAGTGTGGTTTGTAAGAGTGTACCGAATATGATGGGTATCCACTGGTAGTATCTGATCTCAAACGCACTCCCTTCCTCCCGCCCCTCCTCGACAGTGGCGTTGAAGGGGATGTAGTAGGTACCCTTCATCCAGCAGATGTTGTCCACAAACTGGATCCACTGTGCTACACAAACAACACAATCATCCTCATCAGTTATGATGACAGCATGCGCATGCTAATATAATTCACTCAGTCCTGTGTTTAGGGGAAGCTCCTTTTTCCGTAGAGATTCCACCCCCTCATGACCCAAAAGAACCCCCTTTTTAGTAAGGAAACCCATTTTCATCTGACTGATCTATTTTTCTAAAAGCGCTTTGAAAGCCAACAAATAGTAATTTTTGAAGCCCATATACAGTAATTTTCATGGGAAAGCGCATGCCAAAAAAACGCAACTTTTGATTCAAAAATCAAAATGATCAACCTAAAAAGAGATCGACAAAGGTGTCGACATTTTTTTTGAAAACACCACAACTCCCGCCCTCGAAAAAAATCATAGATTAGAACGTGCATTCACTATTCAGAAGCAAAATATGTAATGATTCTATCACACAAAAACTATCAATATGATGAAGTCACCAGTTGAACCTGTTTTGAGAACAAATTGAACATGGAACAATGCACCACTAAAAAGACTCATGCGAAGTCCGAACAAGTGTTTTAAGTAATGTTTTGGATTGTATTTTGACCAAGTACAAAGACCACTTAGAAGACAACACAGACTATAAATAGGTTGAAACTCTTATTTGCGCGAAAACAAGCAGAAGGACTTGGGCGTGCGGCGACTATGAACGGCTGAAGGAGACTACGCCTCCTCGAGTTGTGTGGGTCTACCTGTGAAGAACTCGGGAGTCCAGCAGTCGATCGGGTCTCCGATCACTTCATTGCTGAGCACAGTGAAAGTGCAGAACACGGCGAACATGATGGGGGTGTACATGAAGTTGCACCTGTCTGTGAAACTAGTCGTGCGCAGATTAGGAGGCCTCTGCAGAAGCTGCGATACCAATTCCACAATCATCGCTCAAGAGACCGAGATAATGAATAACCAAAAACTATCACTATACTATCGAACACACGAATAACACCAGAATGACCAGATTTTGGTGTGGTTATTATGAACGTGTGACAATGCAAGACAAAAATCACACAGAATTTGTGAAAATTCATTGATTATCTTTGTGTGTTTTCACTCGATTTCTTGTTTTGCTCAGTCAATCTGGTCAATTCAAGCCTTTGTGGATTGTAAATCAAAATTGTACCATAATATGACGAAAGTAGTAAATCAAAGAAAAAAATCTTTCATCTTGCAGTCAGTTTGTGTTAAGAGCCTATTTTTTAACAAAATAGACGTCTTTTTGTAAATGTCAAACAATCAAAAACATCAAATTCATTTAAGAATGTCCTCTGATTGATGAACAACAGACATATCGTACAAAAAAAAACGCAACAAATTCTTGATAAAACTAGTGTTTCGACCACTTCTCCATTCAAAGGGTCCCCATTAAACTATTTTTCGAGATCCATTTTCGGCAGACCTACCCTAAGCTTTTTCTAATTTTGGGAACTTTTTGAAAAAATCTTGCCTCAAAAATAAGCGTTTTTGAGTCAAAATTAGTTCATTTTGGCCTTTGGAAAATTTTAGGGTCAGTCAGCCAAAATGGATATCTCAAAATAGTACAATGGAAAGGGGGGACTTTTTGGGTCGGCCCCTGGTTTTGATTTTACTTTGACCTTAAAACCTATGCCCGGATCTAGTATCATTAATTTTTAGGGAAATAACAAACCTCTTAAGATTAACCCAGACGCGAAACCGCACTTAGCAAAAAAATAAAAATTAGGAAATAATTTTCAAAAAATGTTTTAAAAAAATTGTTACCGAATCCCGATCTAGAGATATTGTTTCTTTTGTTTTAAAAACCCTTGCTTTTTTCAAACATCATTCTCTAAAAAAACGAATGAAAAGCATGCTGATAAACACATTAGCAATATACAGCTACTGAAATTGAGCACATTTGCAGAACACTAACTTATGCGAGTTACGTAGGAAAAAAACTGAACTCGTTCTACAACACAAAAACTTGATTTTGAATAAAAACAATGATTATTTGAAAAATCTTTGCATATTTTTAATTGACATTTGCTTTTACGAGCTTTCAGTAGACTTGAAATTAAAAAAACATCACAACGTATGTCATAACCCTTTGGTACTATTTTCTAGACCGACGGACCCGGGCAGACCCACCCTTCGGCGTCAATATAAAAAAAAATTTCGTGTGAAAGCGCGCGCCAAAAAACGCCAAAACATAAAAACATTAGAAGTCGAAAAAATGAAAAATATTGAAAGAATTTTAGATCTACCAAAACTTAGAACTTCAAATGTCTCGATAAAAATTTATTCTGGGCAAACATACCAGGTATTTTAATCTTGAAATAGCAACAGAACAAATTTTACAAATAGGAATTAAATACAAAATTTTTTGAACAGACGCAAGTTGAGCTGGAAAAAAGTGATTTTTATAATTTTTTAAAAAGTTTTCAGTCCTTTTTGAAACTAAAAAGAACAACACTTTCAACTAAAAACTTTGCTTACAGCACAAGATAAAACGTTGCACTGAAGCCAACAATCTTTGAGTGGTCATCATTTAACCCGAAAAAAAAATTAGTAACAAAACTAAAAATGTAAGTCTTCTCTGAAATTACATTAAACAACACTTGCAACTGCAACTACAATGAAAATTGCTAAAACCACAAGCAAAATCCGCGATGTGACATTAAACCGACAAAACTTGAGCAAACAAAACAAAGGAAAACCCGACAATTTAATTTTTACTTAAATTCAATTGCACACATAATGAAGAAAAACGTCCGAGAGGGATTCGACCGCTGAACTTAGGGTGCAAGGGCAATAGTGTCACTTTTAGGCGAAGTGTGAAGATTCCTGACACTTACTTGCTAATCTTCAATAATAAAACAAATAAGAATAACAATTAAAATTTATAAGAAAAGTTTTTCATAAGAAAAGTTGAAAAAGGTCTAGTCATACTTGTCAACGGGCCGGGCCGCCCGTGGGTCTCAACGGGTCGGGCCGGGCCGAGGTTTTCACTTTTGTCAACGGGCCCCAACGGGCCTTACTTTCATTGACTAACCAATGTTATGTTTCAGAGCGCACTGTACAGCTTGCAGTGCGCTAAACGAAATGAGGCAATTGAAATGGTTTCCATGGCTTTTGAAAAAGGTCTTTATAAATAAGTAAAACAATTAATTAAAATTGTTTTGAAACAAATTTGTTTTTTACCAAAAAAGCAGCAACGGGCCCCAACGGGCCGATATTTAATAAACTCGACTTGAATTATATCGGGCCGGCCGGGCCTCAATTATGGCGGCCCGTTAACAAGTCTGGGTCTAGTTCCTGATTACAATACATTTGCTCTCGCAAGTGCAAATACGGAAAAAACTACCTTAATTCAAGCATGTTCTTTAAGGTATTTCAAAATTTTGGATTTTTTGTAGTCTCACATTTTTATCTAATCCTAACTTGAAATCTCGTATACTCAGCTTGCAACAGGGAACTATACGAATAGGTGAAAAATTACAAAAATTGTCAGAGCAGTCGAAGTATTAAGCACTCTCATATATATAAGCTAAAGGGCCATATAAGTCTGTAAAACTAAGAATTTTGAGAGCCTACGCTTGTAGCGGACAAAATTTGGTCAAAATGTGGGTCTTGATAGTGGTTTGAGAGAGCTCAGAAAATTATTTGGACCTAAATAAAGATCGACAAAAAGTTTGAATTTTTTTTGAGAATCTGCCCCTCTTGAGAAAATCCTAGATCCGCCCAGGGTGGCAACAGAAAGCGTTCCGGAATACCTTTGTTCAGTAGAAAGTTCTGATAATCTTTTAAAAAGCCATGTCTCAAAAGTCATGGAGATTTAAGTTTTTAGCCTTTACTTGTGATAATATGCAGTGGTGTAGTAATACAAATTAAGTAAAAAGATTGAATATTTTTCGCTTTCACAAAAAACTATGGGCTTTTTTCCTCCCCTCCACCTCACAAAAACATCAATTTTATGATGTAACGAGGGGTTTTACAAGATTAATCATGAAGACTAAATATATTTGTCATGCCTAGTCAATTTGCATGCCAATTTTCCTAACATTCGGATAAAATGAACAAAATTTGACCACTAAAATTTTGCAGGTGGGGGGAAAGGAAAAAGAGCCTACCGTTTTTTGGCTCATCAACCCATATGCCTGGCTGGATAAATTTTTTTCTACACGTGGTCATTTAGTGGCGACCGTTCAACGTGCATGAACGCCTCATTTAAAAAAGCAAAGATTAAATTAAAAGCGAAATGTGTTAAACTAATAAATTCAACTGTTCTGGATTTGCGTCAATCCTCGAAATCTAACAACTTTTCAATGATTATCAAAAATTCAGTTCGAAGAGATTTCGGAACCCCGATTATTCTACAAAATCATGCATAACCAAGCTTTGAGAAATTAGTTTACAAACACCTTACGCGTGTTTTGGACAAACAATACCATCAAATTGATTCAAATTAGTTTTTGATACATTGGCTATTTAAATTTGATTACTTGTGATGAAAAAAAGTGAATAAAAAGGGGTAAAAAATTATTTCTTGGAAGAATTTCTCGCAGTGCAAGGCTTACATCACTTGGAAGGAAAACAATTTTGTTTTCCGGGAGTGAGTTAAAAAGTTTTCAAGTGTTTGTGGATATAAATTGGTAAGAAATTGGCAGTCATAAATCGGCTTCAAACATATATTGCAATTTTTTGAGGTTTGTAACAATGATCATTTTTTGAGATAACAATTGATTGTCTTCTAAGAAGCTTGTATAAACAATAAGTTACGTTGTTTTGCTTTCAAATTACACTTTAATGCAATATTAAAAAAAGCACCTTCAAAATATCTTTCAAAAAGGGAACCAATCCAGTCATCATGGCGTAATAAACTACCAGTTTTTTTAAACGTTTCGAATATTCTACAGATTTTCGAATCTTCTACAAAAGGAAGAGCGAAATTTAACGAGAAAAACGCAAATTTGACACTTCAATCGATGAAAATGATTTTTTTTTCAGAAAAAAAATGACTGGGATCAAAATTATGCCCAGAAAACCTTGATTATGTCAGAGAACTCAAAATAATATTATTTTAAATTTTCAGGCTGGATATAACACATAAGGCTGAACTTTATATCCTGTTTCTCAAATGGACCCACCTCAACTAGATTTACTATCAACTCAAAAATATTTGAAACATTTAGATTGCTTGAATTTTGAACTAAATCAGTCGAGTGCTTAAGTCGAGCTGAATGCTCAAAAGTGATACCACAGACCGTAAATTATTACTGTGATTTTTCTGGTAAATGAATTTAATACTTAAATTGCAAATGAAAAACTTAACTACATATCTGAGTAGAGCCCACATAAAATTCTCAACGCAGGCATACTCTCCCGCTTCTAAATAGAATTTTTGCTGCATGAAACAGGAACTCCGATTGCTGTACAAGAGCTCAATTAAAATGGTTTCATGATATCAGAACGATGTTCCTTACGTGTGAAGTACTGAGGTGTCCAGCAGTCCACTGGGTCTCCCACATACTCTGTAAACGTGAGAGCCAAAGCAAGACTTAGGAAAAAGTAAGTGGAGTAGTAAAAATTGAGTCTGTCTGCAAAACTAGACACTCGGGATTGATGCAACTGGCTAACGTAATCAAACAGATGCTCAAAAATCATGACTGTCTGATTTGATGTTACTCGTCAGGTGCTCCTCTTACTATTATCTCAATAAAATAGTCGCTTAATATCACTGTCTATTTAGAACCAAGTATTTTGTACAGAAGTATTTGTGAAAAGCTATCGGTGCCATAACTGCACGGCCGATTTATCTGGTTAAAAGCTATGTTGTCTTCTAGTCCATTGCTCACACTTCAACTCTCGGCACAAAAACATTAAATTTTTCTGGCTGTTGAAAAACAGAGTGGCATGTAACCAATCGATGAGCGTAGGCTAAGACCAAGTCAATGACAGAACAGATCACGCTTCAGTTTTAATCACATCAGCGACCAACCACTGTTTATAAACTGATCGGCTCAATTTGAAACAGATATGGCGCAATAGTTCAATTCTATTATGCAAGTAGCCATCAACAAGAGAATTTACACAAACTCACTCGATCTTCAACACACTATCAATTTGGTATATGCAACAAATATTTACTTCATAATATTTCACACTCATTATGATCTGTACATTTTAGCTTTCTCTTTAATCACTTCATTTTCAGATTTTTCCAGTTCATTCGACAGCAGCAGCTAATAACTTGAGTCTCTTATGCAGCCTTTTCATTGCTCCGTGTGCGTTGGAAAGTAGAATATCAGACGGGGGTTTAAAACATGGGGGGTCCCCTGCCTCGACCGCCTGGCCTCTTGACTGGTCTGTTGTCCTGGGGGTTCTGTGACTTGGCGTTCTTGATGGACTCGTCCACTGACAGGATCAGACAGCATGCCTCCGAGGCCGCACTGAGGGCGTTGATCTTGACTAGAGCTGGCTCCCACACAAATGCTGCCATGTTGTCCGCAATGTCTTCGTTGTTGATGTCCACCCCGTACCACATGCCTCCTAAATCCACATTCCATTACTCGTTATGCCCGAAGAACTCATAAGTATTTCTTGCTGATAACAAATGTTGTAGAAATTAGTTCGAAAGCAGTGCCGAAAGAAATCAGTAGCCTCGAAGATCTACGAGAGGATCACAGGTTATAATTCAAACTGATTCTTTTGAAAATGAAAGCTCGATTAAAGCAACAGTTAAGTCTATTGCACCATAATGTTGGCAAATCTAATTTGCATGACCATTAAATAGTGAACAGTGCAACCTTCTGCGTGTTTTTGTCGCAGCTTGTTGAGGATGTTAGTGGCGTCGAATCCTGCGTTCTCGCACAGCTGTCTCGGGATGACCTCGAGTGACTTGGCCATGGCAGTGATGAACATCTGCTCCTTGCCCTGCACTGATCTCGCGTGATTTCTCAGATGTTTGCTCAGCTCCATTTCAATCGCCCCTCCCCCTGCCACCACAGCATCGTTCTTCAGAGTACGTCTCACAATCATGATCGCATCATGCAGAGACCTCTCAGTCTCCTCAATGAACTGCTCAGCTCCGCCTCTTAGAATCAGAGTGCATGTTTTCGCATTGGGACAACCAGTGAACAAGTTGTACCTGCAATCAAAAAAGAATCAATTCAGACAACTCAGTAATGATAAGGTTAATTTATCACTAAGCAAAACCATTTACTGCTTTCACAGCATATTACTGTCAAGCGCGACATCAATACCTCTTAAAGCTGCTTTTAATTTTAGGGCCAGTTTGTGTGAGCTGATCAAAGCTGCCTCAACCTCGGTCCACGAAAAGAATAAGTAAAGGCTAGCAGTTTAGCCTTGATTTATTCACGCTCATTTAGATTCAAAGGTTGCCTAACATTCCGAAAGAAGACACTTAAACGACAGTACTTTTACCTTTCGTTTCCGATTTGCACTTCTTCGAAGTTCTCGCAGAGACCCAGTGCGCCAGGAGAGGTCAAGTTGGACGTGACGCTGTGGATCAGACCACCACATGCCTTTTGAGTCCGCTTCAAGTCCTCTTCAGTCACTCGTCCTGCACAGAACATGTCTCTGTCCGCAAACCACTGAGTGGCAACATCCCCTATCGGCAGCCTCGACAAGATTATCTTCGCTCCACTCGCCTCACAAGCGGCCAACTTGTCGTACAGAATATTCCATTCAGCATCCACTACTTCTTGATAATCTTTCACGTTTTCCAGACGCATCTCAGCATTGGTTCTCTCTGCTTTCAGTTCGAGCTCAATGTTCAACAAAGCTATTTGGGCATTTTTATACTTCTTGGGCTGCATTTCAAAGCCAGCATAGGAGAAGGTCTTCTTGAAAGCAACGCCTGGTACTAGTTTAGAGTCTGCCATGCCTCCTCCGGCCACCTTCTTGATCCCGATCATGTTCAGAGGAAGAGTCTTCACGTCCAGAGACATGACTGCGTCTACTGCCATCTTAGCGAAGAAGTGTTTCTGAGTGGCCACTAGTTTACTACTCAGAGTCGTCGCTGCACACTTTTCCAACGTCTCTCGCAACTCTCTGCAAACAAAACGAATCACATTTCATTTGTAATATCAACTTATACCTACGGAATCTGAGTGAAACGTCAAGAGAAAATATCATTCAGAACAACGCTGCCCAATTTTTGCGATATCAATCAAATTGTCCCTTTTCATTATAAGAAGAAAGAAATATGCGAGTTTGTAAACGTCAGGTCAGGGGCGTATCCAGCATTCTCTACAAGGGGGAGCGACATTTTATTGGCCTTTTTTCAAGGCCGCCCAAAATGATTTTATGAGGTCGACCAACTTATACAAAGACACTGTATTAACAAAATTTTCTGCAGACTAACTTTTGAAAGCAAAAAACGCGGATTTTGGGCACTTGAAGCATTTTTGGGCGCACGCTTCTCCTTCAAATCAACATGTATTGGCGACAAAGTCGTCTTTAGAAAATATTGGGGTATGTCAGCTGAAATGGATGCCATTAAATAGTACCAGAGGTGAAATATTTGAATGGAGCGGATCGTAATTCGCCCCTGATATAGGTCTTTAAGCACTGCCTCTCAAAGTCCAGGAGTCACAGATGTGACTCAAGCTCTGATACGTTTACGCTACCTTGCTTTATTGTTAGAACTATTTGATACAGAAACACAAAATTAGCCTTTTATACCGGAATCAAAAGTGAAACATTCTTTGCAGCAAGTTCTTTTAGTTTTCAATGTAAAGCGAGTAAAGAGAATGTGATGAAGTAGTGATGAAGTAAAAGCAGGAGGGGAAAAAACTGAACATTTGAACTTTGACTTCGATTTAAAAAAGGGTTCAAAATTTTAAAAAGAAACTTTTTTTAGAAAAGCAATTTACGCTTAAAAACCTTGCTCATCATTTAATAGCAAGAGTTCATCGCAAGTACTGTGAACTGTGAGACTTAACAGATATTAGATGAATTTATATTATACCTTGTTTGAGATACACCGCTAAAAAGTTTTATGAATTACACATAAACATGCACAAGTGCAAATTTCTTTCAAGGATACAATATCAATAGTCGGTTAGTTAAATAATTTAGAGCATAATTTTTTTTTACAAATTTTAAATCAATAGGAAAAATTTCCACAATTACTAGACTGCTCTTACAAAATTCATGCATGCATACGATATAAATTACAACACGCTCAGCTTTATGTAAAAATTGGAAATTTTCTCCAAGAGGTTAAGCTGAGCTTCATACCGCTTGCAATGCAAAAACATATGCAAGAATAGCAGCGTAAAAAAAGCAACATATTTCAAATGTCAAAAAATGCAAATTCTGGTTTTGTGCAAGTAAAAAATCCGTCTTCACAAATGTTTCATTCGCAAACAAGGCGAATGAAACATTTGTGAAGACGGATTTTTTACTTGCACAAAACCAGAATACGCCGTTGAAAGGATTTTTTATCATTACCGTTCTTAGTACATATAACACGGTGATTAAATCGTTCCAAATTGAATTGACGCAAATCATACGGTCATATTTTCAAAGAGTCGTATGATACATCCCCTTTCTACTTTACATAGCGGTGGGCCGATAAAACGGCCTTAAGGTGCTTCGTCCTGATATACGAGCAATCCTGTTTAGATTTACTCAAGGAAGACGCAACAATACCAACCAATGAAAAAATCTCGTGGAAACGTTTCAAAACTACTTAGTGAGAAATCCATTTTAATGGCGTGATGTAGCTTACAAATTATTTATAATAAAATTTATATTATATAATCAAACTGTAAAAATAACACGACATTTTTTTAAGCAAAAAGAGCTGTTTTTTTTTGAAATTTTAATAAAAATGTTGCTCCTTTCTGAAAACAAAATCAAGTAACAAAATCAACATTGAGCAATTTGGCAATTTGATAAGGCAACAACAGCAATCATATGAGTTGGAAAACTTAAAAAAAACGTTTCAATTAAATTTATCACATGAAAATACTGTTAGTAACACTTGCTTCAAGAACACTTACGCTGGTGTTTTCTGCGAGACAGTTACTGAGATTTCTTTGATTCTGTCGACGGCCTGAAAAAAAAACAAGACAATTTTTCATAAGCGCAATATGGATTGATAATTTGAATTCTAGGATTTTATTGAAATACCAATTTAGTAGCCTTTCTGTAAGCCTTGATGATGAGATGCGGATGTATTCCCTCGTCGATGAACTCTTTGCTCTGCTTTAGAAACTCTCCAGCAAAAACAGTGACAGAAGTAGTCCCGTCTCCGACCTGTAGATATGTGTAGCAAACGTTACATTATACAGTGCTGATTTAAATTAACCGGACAAAACGCGTTAAATTTGAAATTTAAAACCCTTTTTTCTCAAATTGGGTTGAGTTTAGGTGAAAACTTATGAAGACAAAACTTGCTCAAAATTTTAGCAGAATTAATATGGTGTAATTTGCTTTGACAATTTCGGGCCCAAAATTTTACCCCAAAAATGGGTAATTTTGGCTTTTCTTAGTTAATGAAAAATTACGCCAAAAATACCCAGTCGATAACAAACATAATTATATCAGATTGAGCCCCTTAAGTAGCTTAACAAACTTTAAGAAGGGTATTTTCTCCAAAAAAAACTGCAAACCGTTTAAAAACTGTTTTTAAATAAAAAGTTGGTATTTATATATAGTAAAAACTACCTTTTTTGTCTATCAAACAAAATTTAATTAACTTATACAATATTTTGGAGAAAATACCCCTCTTAAAGTTTGTTAAGCTACGTAAGGGCCTCAATCTGATATAATTATGTCTGTGATCGACCGGGTATTTTTGGCGTAATTTTTGATTAACTAAGAAAAGCCAAAATGACCCATTTTTGGGGTAAAATATTGGGCCCGAAATTCGCAAAACAAATTGCACCATATTAATTCTGCTAAAATTTTGAGCAAGTTTTTTCTTCATAAATTTTCACCTAAACTCAACCCAATTTGAGAAAAAACGCGTTTTAAATTTCAAGTTTAACGCGTTTTGTCCGGATTTAAATCAGCACTGTAGTTCAACCCCTACGTATTGACAATTTTCGACGTTATTTTAATCAAATACCTGATTTCTTGAGCCAGATATATAAAACACACTAAAATACATAGTTTCACACAGAGTCGAAGCTGCGCTTCGCAAACACAAGCGAGGAAAATGTAAAAAAAAAGGAACTCTAAACAGGCAAAACACAGTGTAATAAGGAAAAGGTTCAAAAGACACCTTGAGAAACCTTTTTGAAAGGCTTGTGAATAACACGTTCTCATATCGGCTTCATGACCGCTTGTAATTTTACTAACACTAGCCACCAATAAAGCAGCTGCAACTTCTATCAAATTGCCAATGCGATGCAGGAAAAACTCGACCAAAAAAACGGTAACTATTTCAAAGTTCCGGATTTGGATCTCCTACCGGTTGATTACGATTTCCACTTCCTCGCAATCGCGCCACGGACGCTTGGAAGAAAAACTAAATGCCCAGCTTATGCTAGATTCACATGTTTTAATATTTTGATCATATTGTGTACTTTTTTGTTGTTGTAGTTGCCTCTCGCCGGGGCCCTACATTGTGGGGTGTACCCCGGCCAGGTCAATGAAACGGGCGGCTTCCACCGGGTTTGTCCAAAGGGCAGTGAGGGGGAGGTCAGTGGGGTTTGTGGGGCACTGGAACAGGTGGGCAGTCGTGTGGGGGGCTGTATGGCAGAGGGGACAGGAGGACCATTGGTCTGGTTCAAGCCTGGCCCGGTACGACAACAGGTGTTGACTGTAGCCGGACCGAAGTTGGCTGGGGGTCCTCCGAGTACGTCTGGGTAGGGTCTCCTCTCGGACGTTGACAGGAGGGGGTCTTCTACCGAGGACTCCAGACGGTGGATACGACTGGGTTGTCGTCGCCACCGTCTCTGTGTGCACAGTTTTCAGGAGCCGTCGGTACTCCTTCGTTGGTAGCGGCAGGTCAACGCCTTCGAGGAGGTGTTCCAGACGGGGGGCATGGGCAGAGACTAGTGTGGGTTTCATTTTGCGGGGGGGAGGAGGTTTCTCGAGGAGTCTCTGACCAGGGTGTTCGGGGAGGTGGCAAGCCAAGAGATGTTGTGTTGCAAGCATTGCCGTGTGGGCTTTCACCGGGAGCACCTGCGTCTCTTCGTGTAGGTGGCTTTGGGGGGCCATTAGATGGTTCCCGGTGGCGACCCGCAGAGCCGCGTTTTGGATGGTCTGCAGACGCTTGACACTGGTCTCGGATGCGACTGTAGACCAAACTGGGGCCGCGTATTCGAGACGAGGCCTGACCAGGGCTTTGAAAGTCACGAGTAGCGTTTCCGTGTCCTGACCCCAGTCCGTGCCTGCCAAGGCCTTCATGGCGTTGACCGCCCTGGAGGCAGCGACCCTGCAATGTTCCCCGATCTTGAACATCGGGTCAAACCTGACACCAAGTACTTTGGGGTGTTTTTCCAACTTGAGCGGGATATCTGCCACCGTCAAGTGTGGTTGTACGTTGCAATTCTTGGTGTCAGGCGTGAGTAATGTTACAGCGCATTTTCCGGGGGAGAGTGCGAGTTTGAGGGATTGAAAGTAGGACGTTAGGGAGTCGAGGTATGGCTGCAACTTAGCGGTGATGATATTGATCTTCGGCCCGCTGGCCCAGGGCGTCACGTCGTCTGCGTAGCTCACCACGTTGACACCCTCGGGAGGGGAGGGGAGGGAGCCAACGTAGGAGTTAAACAGAGTCGGTGATATGACTGAGCCTTGCGGAACACCTGTTCGGACAATTCTGGCGGGAGATGTCTCACCGCGGAACAGGGTGCGTGCTTGGCGGCCGGTCAGGTACCCTGAGAGCCAGCGAAGGGGGTAGTGAAGTTCTGCTCAATTTCTCCAGCAGGGTGCGGTGACATACCATATCAAAGGCCTTGGAAAGGTCTAATGTCACCAGTACCGTGCGGTCTGCCGGTTTCTTTTGGTTGAAACCGTCGGCGACCGCGCTGGAGATTTCGAGCAGGGCAGTTGTGGTTGAATGGAGGGGGCGGAAGCCGTGTTGGTGTGGTTCTGGGGTCAGGTGGGATTGAAGTATTGGGAGGATGCAGGCTTCCAAAATTTTGACAGCGGGGCAGAGTAACGAGACGGGGCGGTAGGAGGACCAGTCCTGGGGGGTTTTCCGGGCTTGAGTAGTGGTATGACAATTGATTTTTTCCAGATGGCGGGGATTTGGGACTTTGCGAGGGAGCCATTGAAAACTTTGGTCAGCCAGGCGACGCCGTGCTGTCCGAGGTTTTTCAAATGCAGTGCGTTTAGCCCATCGGGGCCGCACGCCTTCGAACTCTTGCACTTGCGGATCGCCTTGCTGACTTGGGACGGGGTCGTCTGTATGGGGGTTTCGAGGGAAAGTGACTACAATTTGCGTTTGATGACTCGGTTCTCTTTTGAGCTTTCGTGTTTGATTGGGGCCGTCAAATGCTTGTTGAAAAGTCTGGCTTGGTCCTTAGGTCGGGTGTATGTGCGTCCGTCAAACCTGATGGACGGGTTTGGCGGGTCGCGTTTTTTGCCGTCAATGGTACGAATGGTCCTCCAGAGTTTCTCTGGTTTTGTTTTGTGATCAAATGTCTGGAGGTATTCATGCCATCGGGCAGTTTGGGACTTCCTGAGGATCATCTCGATTTTGTTGTTGAGGAGTGGCAAGTCTGGGGATGTGGGGTTGTTTGTCCTCAGGGCATCGCGTTGGCTGATGAGCTTGGCCGCTTCTGGCGGTAGGCCTGGAGTGCTCGTTGGGCGACGGCCAGACGGGATGTGGTGCTTGGCTACCTTGTTTACGATCTCGCGGAACAACCTTTCTCCTTTGTAGGGATCGGGCTGCTCCTCGAGAGACGCGAACGCAGCTTCTGTCTCCGTCTTGAAGCCGTCCCAGTCCGCGCGGAGGAAGTTTGTGAAGGTCTTGTTCGGGGCTGGAATTGTCAGGGGACTGGTTGATAGTCTGATGATGACTGGCAGGTGGTCGGAGCTCAGCGTGGTTTCCGTCTCCCAGCTCAGTTTCGACAGGAGATCTTCTGAGGCAAGGGATACGTCAGGAGAGGTTGCCTGGCCCGAAGTTGGTATACGGGTCGCTGTGTGTGTGTTCAGCGCTCCAAAGCTCGATGCCTCAATTTCGTCGGCTAGGGTCTTTCCGCGCGAGTCCTGAATGGACGAGCACCAAAGGGGGTCGTGTGCGTTGATGTCGCCCAGTATCAGGGAGCATCTAGTCTCGAGGAAAGGGGTCAACGAGGGGGTGAAGTTCGAGGGGCAGCTACTGCTGGGGGGGATGTACACGTTTCTTATTGTGAGCACCTCGTTTAGGAGTGGGATTTGAATCGATTGGTGTTCGAGGGGCTCGCCAGGAGGTTTGTTCTCGTCCACAGGGGTGAAAGGGATTGTGTGGTGCACGGTAACATAAGTCCTCCGCCGGCTCCGCTTCCTCGGTCTTTTCGGACTACAGTGTAGTCTTCAAAGACTGGGTCTTTCCCTTTGGCGGTGAGCTTTGTCTCCTGCAAGGCGGCCACTTTGATCTTACGGGTACGGAGAAAACGGCTCAGTTCTGTTCCGTATCCCATTGCAATTTAGTTGCAGGAACGTCAGTGGCTCTGCCTTCGGTTGTCGGGGTCGTGGATTTGGAGGTGGGATGGGAACTCGTTTGGTGGGGTGGGGTGGTGTAGTGGGGGTTGGAGGGTCGACAGTTTGGGTGGTTGCTTGGGAGGGTGTGGGTGCACTGAAAGGCGTGACTGGTGGACAGCCCGGGCAGACGTAGTCTCTGTGCCATTCGGCAACAGTCCGAAGGCCGCTGGTGAATCCAGGTTCCGCAGCAGTGGCACCATACGGTGGTGCCGCCTCCCCAGGTTTCAGTGCACACCGTGCAGGGGGATTTCAGTGTCTGTGGGCGTCTGGGTGGTCCAGGGTTTGGCTCGACGTCGGCTCTTAGTAGGAGGGTGCGGATCAGACTCATCGGCTTAGGCTGATCCGATAACAAAAACCCGGCCGAGGGTCCCACGCATGGGCGCCCGGTGAGAGGAGTTTGACGTTGGTCTGCTGGTAGCAGAGGTCGGGTCGTCGCTCCCGATCCAGAGAGTTTGCAACCGGAGTCCTCGTGGTCCTCTGGTTGTTGGTCCCACCGCAAAAAGGCTCTCTCCTTCCGGGACCATATTGTGTACTGATACCGAAATGCGTAATTTTGAAAGTTTCAAAAATGGACTTAACGCAAAACCCTTGTGATTTTTCTGCTTAAGTAGTGGATTAGCTGAATATTTAAAGAAAAAAACTATCGATCTTTCAACTAAATTCTTTATCTCAGATTTGGCTGGGTAGTTTTCGAAAAAAAAAATAGAAAAAGATTTCGGGAATATTCTCGTATGCAGGGAGGATTTCCACACCCTGATTTTTAGATTGAATCCTTAGTATCGGCTTTAGCTAGTAGCTTTGGAGAACACTGATGCAATTTCTTCAAAAAAAAAACGGTTAAACCTTCAAAAAAATGGATTTTTCCCAAGTCCATATCGGCTTTTCTACAAACAAGTAAGGCGAAACAGTTTACACAGGAAAAATCTAAGCACGATGGTAGTTTGAATTAATTATCAACATCAGAGTCAGCAGGTTATTTTTTGAAGAAAAAAATTCCAAAAAAACGGGCAAAGTTTCAAAAAATAAACATTTTCTAAGGCCATATTTTTTCAAAACTCAGGGCATAGTCGCTTGCGCAATGAAGATTCGCATACCACGTTTTTCTTCCGGTTGAACTCTTATTTTCCGATTTGGCAGGGTAGTTTTTGAGATAAGTCAAAACATTATCCAAAATGTCAAAAATGGGCTTGTTTGAGGCCATAACTTTTTTCTTCCAACCAGTTTTTCCAATGACACCATTGTTTTGAAAATTGGTTAAAAATTTTCCTAAGGTCGCAAAAAAAAACAAATTAACAAATCCCATACATTTTCATAACACCTGTTGTTTTCAAACAGGACCTAACTTTAGCCAAAAATAAACCAGCACTATATGCTATTAAATTACCTATGCTTAAATATGATGAAATTGAAATATACCAAAATTGTCACTAATGAGCACTTTTATTTGCGACTTAGGTTTAAAAAAAATTGCTCATGATAATACACTTCGCTTCGCTTGTGTAAACACTTGTGTCGCAAGCGTAGCACTGTTATCTGCATACCTCTGCATCTTGGGACTTCGCAATATCCACTAGAGTCCTTGCTGCGGGGTGAACAATCTGGAGCAGTTTGAGTATAGTTGCTCCGTCATTGGAGATAGTTGACTTTCCCCTAGTGTCCACAATCAGCTTATCCATACCTCTAGGTCCAAGAGTAGTTCGAACAGAGTCAGCCACCACTTCACATGCGTTGATATTGCTGATTAGCTGCTGCTTGCCTTGCATGCTCTCAGTGCCATCCTTCATCAGAATTATAGGAGCGCTCTAAAAAACCATTCCATGTCAATCCGTTTTTTTTAAGACGAGACCTACTCCACATTGCATACAATGCCATTAGCAAATGTCAAAATTAAGCAAACTCAAACTAATACAAGAATCCACCGGCAGCAAATTATTATGAGGCAAGTAACAAACCTGCATCTTTGAACACGGTCACCAAAAACGTATCTGAAAAAAAATATCAGGCTAAATCAAAAGTATCATATTTTGAGAATGCGTTGAAATTGTAAATTCAAACAAACGTTTTCGCACAATTTTGTGCATTTTCAGGTTTTAAAAATCTAAACTATCTGTACAAAATGATCAAAGATCATAAACTTAAAAAACTTAACCAATCACAACTTCACAATTATTACTAAAATTATATAACAACTATTATGTAACAATTTCATTCATTTAGTGCCAAATTTCTGAGAATTCACCTTTGTGTTTTTACAATTCCGTTTTCTCGCTAATTTCATGCTAACAAGTAAGTTATTTCAATTTTTTTTTTGTTTTAGCCAAAATTTTTCGATTCTGGAACTATAGCGTCAGCTCCCTACTTCTAAACTCGTCGCGCGTGTTAATTGCCCGTCTCTCTTTCCTAATGTGCAGCGCCTCTTATGTAAGTAACTTAATGCTGCTGGACACCTGGTCGATTATCTTCCAATTAAACTCCAACTTACCACTATCACACTGCCGTGGTCAGAATTACAGACTGCATTCTCAGGCAGAAATCTCCACCTGAATAGCTCTAAATCCAAAGAAATGGTTATTTATTTCAGGAAATTTAGCATACCCGTTCCTCCAGTTTTCAACATAGAGCAGGTGTCAGAAGTCAGACTTCTTGGGATAACATTGGATTCACAGCTGACGTTCAAGTCACATGTAGAGAAAACTGCACGTTGTGCCACGTCAAATTTATTTTTACTGCTAAGACTGAAACATCTTTGATACACCCAAGAAGAGCTGTCAGTTCTTTATTCGTCCCTAGTGCTTAGCAAACTTCTCAACGGTCTCTCAGTTTGGGACGGAACCAGATGCGACATTTTGCAGAAGATCGATGATGTTCTCAAGAAAGGGCCGAAAATGGTGTATTATCAAAGAAGACACTCAAGTAAGACAGATTGTTCAAAAAACCGACGAAAAACTGCTTCGTTCCATTATTACCCAGGCACAGAATCCCTTGTTTCAAAATATACCAAAAAGAACCGAGTACTCGAAGAATTTAAGGCCCAGACTCCCTGCGACGTCTAAGAGTAAAACTGAGAAAAATTTGACTATAATTTTGAACCGTGCACTCCGTGAAACTACGACCCCTAACAGCTTGATTATAAATTTGCAAATTTGGTTGTTAAAAACCGAGTTTAAATACAAGTTCTTCTTCTTCATATATGCTGTCCAACTGGAGTATACTCTTTTCGGTGTTTCTCAATCCTTGTGGTGTGGTGAGCTGTTGGACCGTCTGGCCAACATAGATGGATTTGCACCCACGACATTCAAGTCTGTACACCACTTTTGATTTCAGTTCACTGGAAAAGAAGGATTGTAAAGAGGGCAAACAAATTTTCATACGTATCACCAATGCGCAGATACGAATTTTATCTGCGCATTGGTGATAATGCGCACTTTTTTTGCTAATATCTGACTGTGGTTCCCCCGATATTGAACAATCAACATAGGTGGTGGTGAATCGCTGCAATAATCACAGGGCTTCTTTTTCTCAGCCATCTTTTTGTTTTCTTTTTGCCCTCCCTGATGATCTTTTCAAGGGCTTCTGATGTAACCCGCGATGACCAACTTTCCGGATATTGGTTATCCAACCACTCTTCACAGTTGAGTTTCATCGCTTTATCATAATCTTCTCATGTTGACGTACTGCGGAAAACCCGGTGAACAGTTCCTTCAATCACACTTCTTTTGTACTGAAGGGGGGCTCAACTTCCTATTTTAATGTGGTACCTGTATATGTTGGTTTCTGAAACCATCCACAGTTAATTGTCCAGTTTTTGTCAATACTATTTTGTAAATGCGTTAAAAATTTGTAAATCTGTTCTAAAAAATTTAGATGTAAAATTTTGAAACCCTACGGCGTTGAGCCAATTCTCAATAACAGTCTCTCCTACAAGGAGACGTAATTTTAAATTAATTTTTCCCTTGTTTTAGTGGAGAAATCTTTTTAGTTGAAAAACCTTTTTATATTTTACCATGTTAGAATTGAAATGGTCTACATTGTAGCAGCTAGCTCACTCTACCACAACCTGGAACAACTTAGCAACCCGGAAAAGAACAATTTCTACCCAAAATTTTGGCTATTCCGGGATTTTCTTTAAAACCGAACACCACGAACCCACAGAAGAACCTCGCAAGCCTACTCTGCAGGGCACTTCTGGCAGAAAAACGTCAAGTGGTGGTGTGGCGCGACATCATCAATAATTCTATCAACAGCCACCGCACAAACAATTTCAGAGCTTGCACTGCAGAGGAATTGACTGAAATCCTGAAGACACTGACAAATATCAGCGCAATTGTATACTGTCAGAGAAACGGTACACCGGATATCAGGAACCAGCTGATCAGCTCGGGTATTCTTGTCATTCCTATTACAAAGTGTCTCATTTCAAGGAGGAAGAGAAGAACGGAGCTGGTCAACGAATATCAGGCACTGCACCATGACGTCCAGCTGGAGCTAAAGTCTTCGAGGATTGTGTTCGAACACCAAGACAACCTGCCAGCTGTCTTGTCCGAGCTTCGTTCAAACACGAAAAAGAAATCTCAATCGAGAAGGAGGGCGGAGAAAAAAAGACTGGTGAACATAGGCGAAGCAACTGTTGGTCGGACTGACGAGGAGGCTTCAACGGAGAGGGTGAGTTAAACTTGTGTTATTTGAGTTGCTTTGTGTCACGTGAGGTTTATTCCTCGTGGCCTGCAAACCAATGAGCACAGTTGTACTCCCACCTCCATTCTTGATTTGGACTTTGAAAAACAAACTCATTTGGAAATTAGTCCGTGATTATGCGTCCAATTATGTTAAATTTATCAACTGTCACCAACGTGTTAAATTTTTGAGAGTTTGTCTAGAAAACGACATTATACCTGATTTTTTGAGGTTCAGGGTACCGGAAAATGGGGTGTTTTCGAACCAAGCGGTAAACAGTTTTCAGACAAAACTTCTAAAAACGGAGATAAACAAGGCAAGGACAGATGAGAAAAACGTTGAAGTCAAACTAGAAAGGGCGAGAGGCGCAGTACAGAGGGGTGTAGATAAGAAATTTTGGCCTTCGGTAATTAAATATTTAAGTCTTAGGGGACAAAGACAAACAGCAACAGTCAAAGAGACCCATCAGAAAAAGCTAATAAAACTATCAGAAAGGCAAGTCCGACCTCTAGGGAAGCAAGGTGAGTGTTCGGTAAGAGCTCTTGATGATGTTGAATTACCAAATTGGGTACATCAAGTGTTGGCATTAGGGCCAAAGCATCCTGTCAGGGATAAATTTAATGAGACACACTTTCTCGCCGAAATTGACATCTTTCTATCGGATCTCAAAAACCGTAAATTCCCCGGGGAGGCCCTTTGTGAGATCGAAGCTGTGGCAAAAGCCTATGCTAAGAGGGTGAAACAAACACCATCTGACAAAGGCGTTGAGAAGGCCCGAAAGTATCTGAAGAGTAATGGATTAGTTGCGGTACCGTATGACAAAGGCGTGAGTTTTTGTGTAATGAGAAAGGACACCTACGAGAACAAGATGTTGGATACATTAGATTCAAATCAATTCAGCAAAAGTAAAAGAATAAGTGATGCGATTGTTTTGAAGATAGAAAGAGACATCAATAAGGAGTTGTTGGCTATGAGAAAAAAGATGAAATAAGTGAGAGTCTCTAAACGAGGATGAGGTCTACTGGGGGCAGCCCGCCAGGCTTTATGGGTTGGTGAAAGTGCATAAAGTGAATACCCCATTAAGACCGGTCCTCTCCTTGCCTGGTAGCTCTTATTATAACTTGACCAAGGTTCTTGCTAAATTTTTTGAGAAAATTGAGGGCGCAAACATCGAAACCAACTCACTAGATGCGAGAGAAATCTTAGAGAGCACTAATCTTGAGCCCAATGAAAACTTGATATCTCTAGATGTGAAGAGTTTGTACACAAATGTTCCATTGAAAGAAGCGATAGACATAGCTCTGAGAAAACTGTATGAGCAAGTTGAACCACCATCAATTGCTAGGAAAACCATGAAGAGACTGTTGAACATGGCAGTTAGTCAAGTCCATTTCAAGTGCAATGAAACATGGTACGTTCAGAAAGATGTTTTGGCAATGGGGGCATCTCTTGCCGTTATTTTAGCAAATCTTTGGCTGAAGCAGTACGAAACTGCACTATCAAGGGATATTCCCGAAATGTTTTTGCCCGAGAAAGATCTTCACGGAATATGTCCCGAGTGCAATAAGAAAGTCATGTACAGGTCAAAAGGTGTAGAATGTGAATGCTGTTTGAACTGGTATCACGTAAAATGCGGTGATATATCAGATGATGAGTATCGAAATATAAGTGAAACCGTCTGGTACTGCAGAAAATGCATCGCAATAAGGGAGAAAAATAAGTCAGGGCAACAATCTAAATTGTTTCTCCGTTACGTTGATGATATAGTGAGAACAGTGAAGGGTGATCCTGAAAAAGTGCTACGGGCTGCAAACTTACTACATCCAAACTTTCAGTTCACAATAGAGACACCAAACACAAACGGAACTTTGGCATTTTTGGATTTACAAATTAGTATTGACAAAAGCAGGAAAATTAGCTGTGGGTGGTATCAAAAACCAACAGATACAGGTACCATACTCAGTTTTAGAAGCTGCGCCCCCCTTCAGTACAAGAGAAGTGTGATTGAAGGAACTGTTCACCGGGTTTTCCGCAGTACGTCATCATGGGAAGAATATGATAAAGCCATGAAAATCAACCGTGAGCAGTGGTTGGATAACCAATATCCGGAAAGTTGGTCGTCGCGGGTTGCATCCCATGCCCTTGAAAAGATCATCAGCGAGGGCAAAAACAAAAAGAACATGGCTGAGAAAAAGAAGCCCTGTGATTATAGCAGTGATTCACCACCCATCTTGATGGTCCAATATAGGGGGAATCACAGTCAGACATTAGCAAAAAAATAGTGCGCGATAGCACCAATGCGCTGATAATATT